AGGTTGGCACACACTGTTGCTGGTATGTTGGCCCATTCCTCCATGCAGATCTCCTCTAGAGCAGTGATGTTTTGGGGCTGTCGCTGGGCAACATGGACTTTCAACTCCCTCCAAAGGTTTTCTATGGGGTTGAGATCTGGAGACTGGCTAGGCCACTCCAGGACCTTGAAATGCTTCTTACGAAGCCACTCCTTAGTTGCCTGCCCGAGCGGTATGTTTGGGGTCATTGTCATGTTGGAAGACCCAGCCACGTTTCATCTTCAATGCCCTTGCTGATGGAAGGAGGTTTGCACTCAAAATCTCACGATACATGGCCCCATTCATTCTGTCCTGTACATGGATCAGTTGTCCTGGTCCCTTTGTGGAGAAACAGCCCCTGAGCATGATGTTGCCACCCCCATGCTTCACAGTAGGTATGGTGTTCTTTGTAAGCAACTCAGCATTCTCTCTCCTCCAAACATGACGAGTTGTGTTTCTACCAAACAGTTCTATTTTGGTTTCATCTGACCATATGACATTCTCCCAATCCTCTTCTGGATCATCCAAATGCTCTCTAGCAAACTTCAGACGGTCCGGGCATGTACTGGCTTAAGCAGGGGGACACGTCTGGCACTGCAGGATCTGAGTCCCTGGTGGCGTAGTGTGTTACTGATGGTAGCCTTTGTTACGTTGGTCCCAGCTCTCTGCAGGTCATTCACTAGGTCCCCCCGTGTGGTCCTGGGATTTTTGCTCACCGTTCTTGTGATCATTTTGACCCCACGGGGTGAGATCTTGTGTGGAGCCCCAGATCGAGGGAGATTATCAGTGGTCTTGTATGTCTTCTATTTTCTAATTATTGCTCCCACAGTTGATTTGTTCACACCAAGCTGCTTGCCTATTGCAGATTCAGTCTTCCCAGCCTGGTGCAGGTCTACAATTTTGTTTCTGGTGTCCTTCGACAGCTCTTTGATCTTCACCATAGTGGAGTTTGGAGTGTGACTGTTTGAGGTTGTGGACAGGTGTCTTTTATACTGATAACAAGTTCAAACAGGTGCCATTGATACAGGTAATGAGTGCAGGACAGAGGAGCCTCTTAAAGAAGAAGGTACAGGTCTGTGAGAGCCCGAAATCTTGCTTGTTTGTAGGTGACCAAATACTTATTTTCCACCATAATTTGCAAATAAATTCTTTCCGAATCAGCCAATGTGGTTGTCTGGATTTTGTTTTTCTCATTTTGTCTCTCATAGTTGAGGTCTACCTATGATGCCAATTACAAGCCTCTCTCATCTTTTTAAGTGGGAGAACGTGCACAATTGGTGGATGACTAAATACTTTTTTGCCCCACTGTATATATATATATATATATATATATATATATATACGTATTTAATATTACCAAAATTGTAGCATTTCAAATATACAGTCAGGTCCATAAATATTGGGACATCGACACAATTCTAACATTTTTGGCTCTATACACCACCACAATAGATTTGAAATGAAACGAAGAAGAGGTGCTTTAACTGCAGACTGTCAGCTTTAATTTGAGGGTATTTACATCCAAATCAGGTGAACGGTGTAGGAATTACAACAGTTTGCATATGTGCCTCCCACTTGTTAAGGGACCAAAAGTAATGGGACAGAATAATAATCATAAATCAGACTTTCACTTTTTAATACTTGGTTGCAAATCCTTTGCAGTCAATTACAGCCTGAAGTCTGGAACGCATAGACATCACCAGATGCTGGGTTTCATCCCTGGTGATGCTCTGCCAGGCTTCTACTGCAACTGTCTTCAGTTCCTGCTTGTTCTTGGGGCATTTTCCCTTCAGTTTTGTCTTCAGCAAGTGAAATGCATGCTCAATCGGATTCAGGTCAGGTGACTGACTTGGCCATTGCATAACATTCCACTTCTTTCCCTTAAAAAACTCTTTGGTTGCTTTTGCAGTATGCTTTGGGTCATTGTCCATCTGCACTGTGAAGCGGCGTCCAATGAGTTGTGAAGCATTTGGCTGAATATGAGCAGATAATATTGCCCGAAACACTTCAGAATTCATCCTGCTGCTTTTGTCAGCAGTCCATCATCAATAAATACAAGAGAACTAGTTCCATTGGCAGCCATACATGCCCACACCATGACACTATCACCACCATGCTTCACTGATAAGGTGGTATGCTTAGGATCATGAGCAGTTCCTTTCCTTCTCCATACTCTTCTCTTCCCATCACTCTGGTACAAGTTGATCTTGGTCTCATCTGTCCATAGGATGTTGTTCCAGAACTGTGAAGGCTTTTTTAGATGTCATTTGGCAAACTCTAATCTGGCCTTCCTGTTTTTGAGGCTCACCAATGGTTTACATCTTGTGGTGAACCCTCTGTATTCACTCTGGTGAAGTCTTCTCTTGATTGTTGACTTTGACACACATACACCTACCTCCTGGAGAGTGTTCGCGATCTTGGTAACTGTTGTGAAGGGTGTTTTCTTCACCAGGGAAAGAATTCTTCGGTCATCCACCACAGTTGTTTTCCATGGTCTTCTGGGTCTTTTGGCGTTGCTGAGCTCATTGGTGCGTTCCTTCTTTTTAAGAATGTTCCAAACAGTTGTTTTGGCCACGCCTAATGTTTTTGTTATATCTCTGATGGGTTTGTTTTGTTTTTTCAGCCTAATGATGGCTTGCTTCACTGATAGTGACAGCTCTTTGGATCTCATCTTGAGAGTTGACAGCAACAGATTCCAAATGCAAATAGCACACTTGAAATGAACTCTACATCTTTTATCTGCTCATTGTAATTGGGATAATGAGGGAATAACACACACCTGGCCATGGAACAGCTGAGAAACCAATTGTCCCATTACTTTTAGTCCCTTAACAAGTGGGAGGCACATATGCAAACTGTTGTAATTCCTACACCGTTCACCTGATTTGGATGTAAACACCCTCAAATTAAAGCTGACAGTCTGCAGTTAAAGCACATCTTGTTTGTTTCATTTCAAATTCATTGTGGTGGTGTATAGAGCCAAAAATGTTAGAATTGTGTCAATGTCCCAATATTTATGGACCTGACTGTATGTCAATATACTGTATTTGGGAAGAATATTTTTAAAATATATTTCAAATATATTTTTCATCCATATGGGAAGGTGCACTGTGTCAGGAATGGACTGACCAGCAATAGTGGGACTCAGCTGCCTTATGAGCTGCAGTACCAGGGCTGGCCAGCGGGTGCTCCCAGCAATCAGAGACTCAACCTTGCAGCCAGTCAAACACCTGGAACTAATAATACTGGTGTATTTAAGGGACATTCAGACCTGCAGACTCTGCCTTGGTGTTGTGTTTCTCTTGGGCCCTGTATCCTGTTCCTGCTCTCTGTTCCTGTCTGATTCTCTGCTGACCCTGCTCTGATCCCTGGCTTGTCTGACCATTCTCCTCTGCCTGACCCTCTGTACCACGCTGCCCGCTACCTGCTGAACCTGGCCTGTGACCCCGACCATTCTCCGCTTGCTCCCCCTGTACCTACCTGCCCGACTGATATTGACCCGGCCTGCCTGACGACGCTTGCATTGTATGTACTGTTATCTGTGGGTGGTTGGTTGGTTTGTTTGCACTGTGTTATGTTTTAGTATTGCACTGCGTTTATGTTTGTATGGTTAGTGTTAATAAATTACATTGTTTATAACATATCTGAAGTCTGCGTTTCCCTGCGTCAGTCACACACACCTCTGGTCATACCCGGGAGCCCTGACATTACACCAAGGCCAATCCTGACCAGAAGTGGCTGCACAGGGAAGCCATCTTGGCTTGTTGATGGGAAGGATGGATCTGGATGAGGTTGCGTATTTATATCTGCTAGTGTTTGATGACAGGGAGTATGCTTATCAAACTCTGAAGGAGTATACCCAGGATGAACTGCTAGAATGTATACGGCTCGCTCATGTTCTAGTAGATCAGGGCACAGAGTTCTCTGAGGTGCAGCCTTTGATTGAGGTTTGTGCTGAGTTGGTTTCATCTGGTACCCCCGAATGCAGGGATGAATTTTTGCCACCATTTAGTGCAGACCAGGTAGAGTCCCTGGTGTGGTTATTAGAGGATGATGTGGGTTACTTTCTGGAGCGTTATTCCACATGTTCACCACAGACACTAAGAGATTGTATAAACGCAGTGCAGTCATTGACCAGACAGGCTTTGTGTAAGCTCAGCTTTGTTCAACCCATACTGCAGACATGGACAGATTTGTTGCACCCAGCCTCAGTCAGCTTACAAAAACCCAGTCCTGCTTCTAATCTATTTCCTCAAAACTCTATTCCTGCATTCCCAACAGCTCCTCCTGCCCTGCTATCTACCGCATGTCAGTACCCTGTTCCCACTCGCTGCACCTATCCTGCCTTTAACCCTGTAAAAAAACCCTCTGTAGCAACTGCTCCCTCTCCTGTTCCATCCTCTAGTTCTTCTCTGTCTCCAGCTGCTCCATTCATTTGCAGACCTGCGTTTACTTGCAGTGCTCCAGTAGTTAAAACCAGAAAAAAGCGAAAATTCTTTCCAACCAATACCATCCTGCCAGTATCCAAACCGGTGAACCTGCCTTCCGTGGTTCAGCCTGAAGCCTCTACTCAGCCTGAATCCTCTACTCAGCCTGATGCCTGTACTCAGCCTGATGCCTGTACGCAGCCTGATGCCTGTACTCAGCCTGATGCCTGTACTCGGCCTGATGCCTCTACTCGGCCTGATGCCTGTACGCAGCCTGATGCCTCTACTCGGCCTGATGCCTGTACGCAGCCTGATGCCTCTCTTCAGCCTGAAGCCTCTACTCGGCCTGCAGCCTCTACTGGGCCTGAAGCCTCTACTGGGCCTGAAGCCTCTGGGCCTGAAGCCTGGCCTGAGCCTCTACTCGGCCTGATGCCTCTACTCGGCCTGATGCCTCTACTCGCCTGAAGCCTGTACTCGGCCTGAAGCCTGTACTCAGCCTGATGCCTGTACTCAGCCTGATGCCTGTACTCAGCCTGAAGCTCTCTACTCAGCCTGATGCCTGTACTCAGCCTGATGCCTGTACTCAGCCTGATGCCTTACAGCAGCCTGATGCCTCTACTCGGCCTGATGCCTGTACGCAGCCTGATGCCTCTCTTCAGCCTGAAGCCTCTACTCGGCCTGAAGCCTCTACTGGGCCTGAAGCCTCTACTGGGCCTGAAGCCTCTACTCGGCCTGAAGCCTCTACTCACTCGGCCTGAAGCCTCTACTCAGCCTGAAGCCTCTACTCAGCCGGACGCCGGCATTCAGCCTGATGCCTCTACCCAGCGTGATGAACTGGTCGAGCCAGACGATCCAATGCCTGGTGACCCGGTGCCCACTGCCTTGCCAGATGACGCGGTGCCCGCTGGCAAGCCAGACGATCCAATGCCTGGTGACCCAGTGCCCGCTGTCATACCTGGTGACCCGATGCCCGCTGTCGAGCCAGACAATCCGGTACCTGATGACCCGGTGCCCACTGTCGTGCCTGTTGACTCGGAGCCCACTGCCTTGCCAGATGACGCGGTGCCCGCTGTCGAGCCAAATGACCTGATGCCTGGTGACCCGATGCCCGCTGTCCAGCCAGACGATTCAATGTCTGCCCCAGTGCCCGCGGTCATGCCAGTTGACTCGGAGCCCACTGCCTTGCCAGATGACGCGGTGCTCACTGTCGAGCCAAATGACTTGATGCCTGGTGACCCGATGCCCGCTGTCCAGTCAGACGATCCAATGTCTGACCCAGTGCCCGCGGTCATACCAGTTGACTCGGAGCCCACTGCCTTGCCAGATGACACGGTGCCCGCTGTCGAGCCAAATGACCTGATGCCTGGTGACCCGATGCCCGCTGTCCAGCCAGACGATCCAATGTCTGACCCAGTGCCAGCGGTCATGCCAGTTGACTCAGAGCCCACTGTCGTGCCTGGTGACTCGGTGCCCGCCGCTTCACCTGGGGGCCCGAGACCTGTCGCTCCGCCTGGGGGTCCGGCGCCCGCCACTCCGCCTGGGGGTCCGGCGCCCGGCGCCCCGCCTGGGGGCCTGAGACCTGTCGCTCCGCCTGAGGGCCCGAGACCTGTCGCTCCACCTGGGGGTCCGGCGCCCGCCGCTCCGCCTGAGGACCCGAGAGCTGTTGCTCCACCTGGGGTCCGGCGCCCGCCGCTCCGCCTGAGGGCCCGAGACCTGTCGCTCCACCTGGGGGTCCGGCGCCCGCCGCTCCGCTGAGGGCCCGAGACCTGTCGCTCCATCTGGGGGTCCGGCGCCCGCCGCTCCGCCTGAGGGCCCGAGACCTGTCGCTCCACCTGGGGTCCGGCGACCGCTGCTCCGCCTGAGGGCCCGAGACCTGTCGCTCCGCCTGGGGGCCCAAGACCTGTCGCTCCGCCTGGGGGCCCGGCGCCCGCCGCTCCGCCTGAGGGCCCGAGACCTGTCGCTCCACCTGGGGGTCTGGCGCCCGCCGCTCCGCCTGAGGGCCCGAGACCTGTCGCTCCACCTGGGGGTCCGGCGCCCGCCGCTCCGCCTGAGGGCCCGAGACCTGTCGCTCCATCTGGGGGTCCGCGCCCGCCGCTCCGCCTGAGAGCCCGAGACCTGTCGCTCCGCCTGGGGGTCCGGCGCCCGCCGCTGCTCCGCCTGGGGGCCCGATGACCTGCCGCTCCGCCTGGGGGCCCGATGCCCGTCGCCCCGCCTGGGGGCCCGATGCCTGTCGCCCCGCCTGGGGGCCCGACTCCTGTCGCCCCACCTGGGGGCCCGATGCCTGTCGCCCCTCCTGGGGGCCGGCGCCCGCCCCTCCGCCTGGGGGGCCCGATGCCGGTCGCCCCGCCTGGGGACCCGATGCCGGTCGCCCCGCCCGGGGGCCGATGCCTGTTGCCCCGCCTGGGGGCCTGGTGCCTGCTGCTCTGCCCGGGGGCCCGATGCCTGCTGCTCCGCCTGGGGGCCCGGTGCCTGCTGCTCCGCCTGGGGGCCCGCTGCCTGCTGCCCCGCCTGGGGGCCCGGTGCCTGCTGCCCCGCCTGGGGGCCCGGTGCCTGCTGCTCCGCCTGGTGGCCCGCTGCCTGCTGCTTCGCCTGGTAATCCGATGTGCCTCTGCCCGGAGTCCTGCCCGATGTGCCTCTGCCCGGAGTCCAGCCCGGTGTGCCTCTGCACGGTGTGCCTCTGCCCGATGTGCCTCTGCCCGGAGTCCAGCCCGGTGTGCCTCTGCACGGTGTGCCTCTGCCCGATGTGCCTCTGCCCGGAGTCCAGCCCGATGTGCCTCTGCCCGGAGTCCAGCCCGCTGTGCCTCTGCCCAGAGTCCAGCTCGATGTGCCTCTGCCCGGAGTCCAGCCCGATGTGCCTCTGCCCGGAGTCCAGCCCGATGTGCCTCTGCCCGGAGTCCAGCCCGATGTGCCTCTGCCCGGAGTCCTGCCGATGTGCCTCTGCCTGGTGTGCCGCTGCCCGGAGTGCCTCTGCCCGGAGTCCAGCCCGATGTGCCTCTGCCCGGAGTCCAGCCCGATGTGCCTCTGCCCGGAGTCCAGCCCGATGTGCCTCTGCCCGGAGTCCAGCCCGATGTGCCTCTGCCCGGAGTCCTGCCCGATGTGCCTCTGCCCGGTGTGCCGCTGCCCGGAGTCCTGCCCGGTGTGCCAGTCTTTGATATCCCGCCAGTTACCAGACCCGGGCGGTGGAACATTTTGCCCAGCTAGGACTGTTTGGAGCGTCCTCAGGCCACTCCTTGAGGGGGGGGTACTGTCAGGAAGGACTGGCCAGCAATAGTGGGACTCAGCTGCTTTATGAGCTGCAGTACCAGGGCTGGCCAGCGGGTGCTCCCAGCAATCAGAGACTCAACCTTGCAGCCAGTCAAACACCTGGAACTAATTATACTGGTGTATTTAAGGGACATTCAGACCTGCAGACTCTGCCTTGGTGTTGTGTTTCTCTTGGGCCCTGTATCCTGTTCCTGCTCTCTGTTCCTGTCTGATTTTCTGCTGACCCTGCTCTGATCCCTGGCTTGTCTGACCATTCTCCTCTGCCTGACCCTCTGTACCACGCTGCCCGCTACCTGCTGAACCTGGCCTGTGACCCCGACCATTCTCCGCTTGCTCCCCCTGTACCTACCTGCCCGACTGATATTGACCCGGCCTGCCTGACGACGCTTGCATTGTATGTACTGTTATCTGTGGGTGGTTGGCTGGTTTGTTTGCACTGTGTTATGTTTTAGTATTGCACTGCGTTTATGTTTGTATGGTTAGTGTTAATAAATTACATTGTTTATAACATATCTGAAGTCTGCGTTTCCCTGCGTCAGTCACACACCTCTGGTCATACCCGGGAGCCCTGACACACTGTCCAGCCCTTTATGAAAAGCTTACGGTTGCTGCAGCTAGACAAGGTTCGGCGTTGCACCTAGTTTGCTGGCATTCATCCCTGGGTGAATACTGCCCTAAATGTTAGTACCAATACGTGTACCATCCAGGCTGCTGTCAGTGGATTTGGACTGTGTACCTGTACCTGCACACATTGCAGGAAATAGTCAAAGATTTGGGACATATTACATGGGACCACTAGATATCACTGCTATTACTTTACAAATCAACGCTTCCTCACCCACTACTAACTGCTTGAGTACAAGAATAGCACAAGTACCAAAGAGACGCAAAGGTTGGGCACCACAGAGTATGGGGGGTATACAGAAATAAGATTAATTTATAATGAAATAACTTTCTTATAAGATTGTTTGCTGTTTTATTAATATCTAATGAAGGCTTTCTCTTGTTGCTAGCTATTTATCCCTTCACGCCTAAGGGTAAATCAAATCTAAATGCCTAAGCACAATTTTGCAATGTTGACATGTGTTAGTAAAACCGTACATATCATCACAACTAATTTTTACATCCAGGTGAATTATACCTTGTTTTTTTCAGGACAAATTGGGCTTTCATTTGGTGGTAAATGGTAATGGATATCTCTGATTTTGTTTATTATCAATGGAAAATTTGACCAAAATAGTAAAAAAAAAAATCATTTTTTTTAATTTACCTGTGTTTTTGTTACTATCATAACCTACCTCCAAAGAACAACCCAAAATAAATTTTACAGCTCTTGACGATCGCATCGATACCATATATGTGTATGTTATTTGTTGTTTGTACCCGTAGTACAGCCCAGAAACAATAGTGCGTATTTTGCTTTTTGTTTTCTGTTTACCTAAAACAAACTGACACTGACATTGACACTAACTGACACTGATACCAATTTTTTTTTAAATCCTGACCTTTAGCCCTGTCCTTTGACCTTGACCCAAACACTTACCCTGGCATTGAACTAGATCAAACCTTGATCTAGGTATTTTTTCTTTATTTTTTAATATTTATTTATCTTTTTTTTTTTATTATTATTATTCTTAACAAACATTGTTTTCCCCCTCTATGCCAGGAGTTAGAGAGATACAATGTATCTCTCTCCTCCATTCATAGAGAGAGAAAAAAAACAAGGGGCCAGGCTGTACAGTGACTGATCACTGTGATAGCCAATCAGAGGCTATCACAGCGATCATGTGACCCGGAATTGAGAGTCCCAGGTGCCGATCGTTAGAACGAGACCCGGGGCTCTCAGTGACACCCCAGTCTTTGTGCTGGGAGTGCGCAGTGCGGCATGCTCCCAGCACAAAGACAGGCACGCAAATATGCGGCCCCACGGAAAAAAAGCCCAGTTCTGTGAGACCGCATATTTGTGTTACATCGGTGTCAAGGGGTTAATCTACTGCAAAAACATTATAAGGAGACTAGAAGACTTTGGGGGGGAGGGGTGAAGCCTCAATCCTGTATAATAATTATTATTATAATGGTTCCTAGGTTCACATCTTTCCTTTTATTATTAGCCTTAGCTTTGAAGAAGCCTCAATACACAGGTATGTGAGCTGACTGATGCTCAGGCCCCTCTCTCTCACTCTCTCTGTTGTGTGACAAGGCTGAGTGCTGACGGAACACTAAGGCCTCATTCACATGGAAGAACAGGCACTAACGACAGCAAGAGACAGCATATTGCTGCAGCTGTGCTGACAGATAGTTGCAGACACCAGCGATCATTACATGTATCTGCACATCGAGCAGTCTCCTGCCTTTAGGCACAAATGTCTGATCAGATTAGGGACGAACATCTGTCCCTAACCACAGTAATCATTGGACGTGTGGATACATGCAAACAGCAGCAGCTCCTGTCAGCCTGTCATTTGTGAGCAGCTGCAGCCATTCCTATCCACGAATCTCCTGTAAACCGAGTCACAGCAATACGCTATCTTTTGTCGCTCTCCGTTTGTCCATGTGATTGAGGCTTTTAAAGGTACGAGTATACAAGTTTGTTTTGGAGAACCCATTAGTCAGAAACTGAGTTTAAAGTGTTACTAAACCCACAACAGTAAAATCAGTCTGTATATGCAGTAAAGCATGCTTGTTATACTCACTGTGGAACCTAAAGGGTTAATCCTCTGCATTGTGTTTGATCCTTTCTTCTCTGTTCCTCCCCTTTTTCAAGCGACCATTTCATATCTCCAGACTGAATCATAGGCATGCACATGCTCAGTTTGGTGTGTATTGCTAGGGATGGTTTTTTTTTTTTTTCTTGGTAGAGTGCATGTGATTAGCACAAGGCCAATCAGCACTGTCCAGACAGAGGTCAGGGGATTTACATCCTCCTAGAGCAGAAAGAAAACTACTCCTATAAGCTTTAGCTAGTGCTGGGCTGGACACTGATAGAAGTCACAAGACTGCTCTAACTGCTGATGGGAAAAAGTATTTAGCAGTTTATATTTGCTAAAATAATTG